TTTTTTTTTTTTTGTAGTCTTTATTAACATCAGTACTGCCAGGTTGAGGGCACACAGTGCTATTGCTACCATCCTGCTTCCCCACTTTAAGTCCAAGAAAAGAGAGAGAGAGCAAAAAGTAGTGTCCCTCAGCTAACCGTTGTCAGTCTTGTCAGCAATGTCAACGTCACAATGCCTAAAGGAGGTTGTGGTGATAAAGTCCTTTAAACTCACTTTTTGCCTACAGTGACCAAGTCATCAATACACTTCCCCGACACACTTTTAAAGGTGAAGACCAACAACAAGTAAGTCGTTAAAACAATTCTCGGGAGGTGGTGAAATGAAGAGAGTGATAAAATTTATACCATCATTCCAATTTCATCACTTTTTGATCAAGCCTTAGAGTTGACACCTACAAGAAACTCCACTCACAGAGTTTGGGCTCAGTGCGTCCTTTGAGAGGGGAGACGACAATTAGTTGCCAGTCCTTCTCAAATGGACTGCGAAAGAGCTCATACATACACACACACACACAGATTTTTCTTTGCTCAGATAATCCTCACCAACATCGGTATGGAAGATGTTACTGGAAATGGAAGTTAGGCGAGATTTGGTGCTCATGCAGTTAATATACCAGCAAAAGTTACTTTCGCCAAGCCATGTGATGCTTTTCCTTCCCTTTTTAAACGAGGGGAAGTGAGAACGCCTTTTCAAAGTGTAAATGGAGTGGGACCGAACAGAAACCGTTAAGACTTGAATGACATATCAACAACGTTTGATCGAGCTTGAAAAGGAAACGAAAATGATCACACGCCTTGGACACACTTCTCTCAAGTTGGTGGTGGTGGACGTAGAGAAGTCACTTACCGTGGGACCGATGGAAGCGGAGGAGACAGGAGAGGTGGGATTGGGACACTGAGGCGCGCCCGCGATAGCATGCGTTCCCGGAGTGCCCGGCGACGCTACAGAGGGTGTTGAAGCCGTCGCCGCTAGTGCGGCCGACAAACCTGGCAGCATAGCACCTTGGGCCAGTTGTTGTTGCAACAATTGCAGTTGCATATTCTTCAATATCAAATTATTTCGACCATTTTGCAGAAGCAATTCACGAAGGTGTTGTGGTGGGTGGAAGTACTTGCAGGGAGGGTCACGGCGTTGACATTTGCCCTACAGCAAAGTAATGACAGCTGCAATGAGTGCCCACTAAATCCTTCGTCACCACCTCCACCGTCTCCAAACTAAATCAGCCGAAAGGTTGGGCTCCCTAGGGCTGTGCACTAAGATAGTGACCTTTCCTGAGGACGAAGGAGTCAAGTACTCGCACCTTCTGACATCTGTTCGGTCTCTGTAACGTTGCTTTCTCCCATCTCTGTGTGGTCGACGTGGAAGGAAGACCTCGATTACTGTTTCACTTAGCGCGCAGCCTTGTGCCAAAATGCAGGTCATAAAGGAGATTGTACAAATGACAACTTTATGTCAACAATTTTTCTAGCTAATAAATGTGACGAGATTGGAGCAGCTTTACGACTTGATGGCTAAAAGCGCGCCAGCGTCCCTCTTCCCGGTACTGCGGACCGTGCCAGAACTTAATTGAGGTCTTTAGACGTGTTTTTTTCTTTCAATAACTTAGCCTCAAGACTGAAATTAGGGGAACAAGAATTGGGGTTAGAAAATTTTTAACACTCTTTTCATTATGGGTGGCTTCCATTCTTTCTTTGGAGCATCGCAAAGAAACTTTTTTTTCAATTAGCGCCAAGATAGGGAACAAATCACTACAAGCTGCATAAGAGTGCAATAAGAACTCCAAGCTGGAGGTTTAATTTGC